GCGGACCTCCTCGACCTTGCCGGCGGAGCCGTTCCGGCGGGGGCGCGTGGTGACGTTCCGCGACAGCTTCGACGACGAGGAGACGAACGACGAGGAGAAGCCGGACGGGGGGAGGACGCTGTCGGCGAGGGAGGCGGTGGCGGCGCAGGAGGCGGCGGAGGCGGCGGCGCAGGCGGAGGCGGATGAGGAGGAGGAGGAGGGGGGGCGGGGGGCTCCGGTGATGTCGCTGATGGATTTGTTGGAGGAGACTGATAGGGAGATGGGGCTTGAAGGGTCGAGGTATATATTGAGCGATGATGATGATGATTTTGATGATGATGATGATGGTGAAGGGGATGATGATGAGACTGGACATGGTTCCATGGAGCATACTTGCTGCATTTGCCTGGTCAGGCATAAGGCTGCTGCTTTTATACCCTGTGGACACACTTTCTGCAGGATGTGTTCAAGGGAGCTTATGGTTAGTAGAGGGAATTGCCCACTCTGCAACAATTTCATTTTGGAGGTTCTTGAAATTTTCTGACTTTGCTAAATTCTTTTCAGTTTTGCCTTCTCTCTTTGCATGAGTTGACCACTACTTTTAAACTTCTTTAAAATTTGTTCTTGTTTCATTATAACTTTTTGTAAAAAATTCTGATTTATTGTTATTGTTGTTGATTTTCTTCTTATTATTATGATTACTATTTTGGGCTTGTTTCTTTTCTCCTCTTAAGAGGTGATGATCTTACTAAAGTTTTCTGAGTTCTTTTGTGTTTCACCGGCTCATAAATTTTCTTCTTTATATGGAGGTTTATTATGTAGTTTGTGTTGCGAATTGAAGATGACAAGAATGGGAAAGGCATACAATTTTTCTCATCAATCATTGCCAAGGATTTTTTTCACTTCCTTAAGTTAGAAACGCATAATTCCGCTTTATATTGTATAAACTAAAACTTGACACATTTCCGCTAATCGAGTGATGGAGCTTGTGATATAGAAGAATTTCTTTTGTTCTATAATCATGCTTTTTCTTTTCATGAATGGAACTGAAAATTTTCAGGTTATTAGTGTTTCTGACTAATTTATATAGCTTATTTTTCTGTATTCCAATTCAATTCGGGTAGGTAATGAGGATGGGCATCAATATCTTCCTATGTGACCGACTATACAAGCACCAGCCTCACCTAATATATCGACGATATTTCTATAAATTTGGAATAGATATATCATCGTGATTAGAACTGAATGTAATTCAAATAACTGAACTTTCATTTCCAATAAAACTAATTCAAGAAGTTCTAATTCATTTTTAACTTGTATTTGTTTATATATACATTTAATGAATATAGTGTGTAAGCAACAAGATACTACAGCACCACCACCCACATCAAAGAACTGTGCATTTTTCATTTTCATTTAGATCTATATAGCAAAATGCTGAGTATTTACACTATTTTCGTTTCGCATTCTGTATGTTGCCCGGTAATTAACAAGGTTAACTTGCTATAATATTGGGCACCAGCAGTAAGTGGCATCAACATCTTAATAAAAGATAAGTTGTATGGCATTGGCTACTGAACCCAGTAATGACATTTAGCACTGTGGTTTCCATGGAGGTTTATATTCAGCAATTGTGAGAATTTCATCAATGACTGCAAAGGAACTCCTCTTGTCTTCTATATTGAAGCAATGCAATCTCTGTTCACCCCTTGATGGAAAGGAATAGGAGTAGGACATATATCAGGTTGTCTCACTATGTAAATTTGATCCCCAACTTCCTTGTAGGAGTCCTGATTACGATACCAAGTCCACAAAGCCCATGTTTCATTTTTTACCTGCATATTACACATTGAAACACTCTAGATATGAGCAAAAGTTCTACTTTGTTCAGCCAATTTGAGGTCATAAAAAAATTAAAAATATTTTTGTATCTATTTGAGACCCAGGAATGCGT